AATTTGTGAAAGACCACTAAAAAACTTGACTATTTTAAAGAAATAATTTACAAAAATTTTTAATATGTAATTAGCATCAGTACATGTTTGTTGATATTACAATTTACAAATATCTATGTATTACTTTTTTGTATAATTTTTTGTTTAACTGTAAACTTTGTATTGAACCTGAAAAACTTTTTGATAATTTTATTTATATTGTCTGTTCCTAAATGATGTACTAATACACTAAGGTTATTTTAATTATTTTTTATTCATGATGAACCGACTCTTGAAAAATGTAAACAATTCTCGAATAAAATTTACATTTATTGAGGTTCAGTCCTGCTTGGTTAAAGACTAATTTTCAACATAATTTCATTTTTGAAAAATCAAAGAGGTCTTGGAAATTAATGTACAAAAACCTATTTATATAGGGTAAAGTGCCTTTTATGTTGCCGATATGACCAAAAGTTATTAAGAAAAGTTTTTTAGAATTACCATCTAGGTCTATATCAAATTTAAAAATTTTGATTTTTTATTTATTCAAGGAGCTTTTTGGTAATAGATACGTGAAAAAGGTATTTCAAACATTGTTTTGAAATCAAAAGCTAGGCCGTATCCCAAATTCTTTAATTTAAGAAATAAACAAAATAAAATTTAAGAAATTATGTTATGAAAATTTTATTCGAGAATTTTTAACCTTTTACAAGAGTTATCTTACCTATCTGGGAAAACACAGTATATAAACACCGCGTATACTGAAAAAAGCGGTTTAGGACGTTTGTTCACATTTATTTGATCCGTACATCATTTAGAAACACTCCGTCAAGTGGTTATAATCAGTTTTATCAAAATTTCATTAATAAACTAAAAAAAATAAAATTTAAGTAGTTTCAAAACTTCTACCTTTTCTTGGGCTCGTAGAAAATGAAAAATTAAATAATAATTGAATAATGCTGTAAACTAAGTTTTAATTAAAATCCATAGCTTTTAAAATATTCATGAATTTTCTTACAAAAATTTTTGTGTTTTAACGGTATTTTATTAAAATTGCTGTTTATTTGATCTACCTGCATTGTGTGACTGATTCACACATGGTTGTTAACAACGTAAGGTTTGACGAATCTAAAATAATTCTCAGCATTGTTTAAATGACTAATAACAACCGGCCCAGGAAAACCAACATCTACTTAAAAGGAATCTATCGTGCGCGATTTTTTTAACACATGCAAATTTAGTTATATCGTTCGATAAGCAAATTTATACGACGATGTGAGAAAAAATTAAAAAAAACTGGTCCGATAACATTGACCTCTTTTTCGTGCACACGTATCCCACTGTTACTTTACAAATTAGGATAATTACTGAATTATGGCGTTTAACCTACACGTCGCAAGATGTAGTAGTAGTTATTCACTACCATAATAAAAATTGATTTAGTTTAATTGCAAGATATACCGTCACTATAAACATTTGTAACGACTGTTACCTGCCAATTAATTTGTTGTAAATGATTGTTATCGTATTTATTATTTTAAAGCCTTCATTAATTAATCAATTAAAAAATTTAATTTCATATTTTTTTGTTCGAAAATATTTATCTAATTTAAAATTGTGTTACCTTTTTTGTGTTTTTTCAAATCAAAATTAAGGTAATTTTTTGTAATTTCAAAAGAGATAATTTTACTATTAAAAGTTACTAACTATAACAGTCCCACTATACATGAAATAAACAGGCTGTCGCAAAAATAAACTGGTGTTATAGCAAAAAATACAAAATTTTGTTGTTATAACTTATAACTTATAAGTAGTAAAATGATAGAAAACAACTTTCCCATGACGTTTTAAAAAAAGTCATTTGTTAATAATAACAAAGTTATGATGATTCAAAAAGATTTTTTGCACACTTATCTTGTTAATCTCAGCTTCCTTATTTGAATTGTGCATATCAAACATTTCGAGATATTAGCCGTTGCTAAAATTTTTATACCTTAATACATAGAGTTCCAACGGTATAAGTTTGATACCGCAACGTCATCAGGCATGCATTGCCCATCGTTGTCAATTGATGACATTGAGGTATCAAACTGTACTTCTCGTTGGAAAAAACAATTTATATCTAAAATAACTCCCTAGTGAAACGTTAGTGCGCCATGTTTGTATTTAAACTAAAATTTAACAATTTGTGCTACTGGTCTTAACTTTGTGGAATTAAACATATAGCAATTTATTTATTGGTATTTTATTTTCCAATTAATTATATAAATTTGCATTATGTGGTCTCATTATTTTGTGGTGTTATTTTCGTCATTCCGTATTCTGTTAATTTATTTTTAGCAGTCTGACTTAATTAGTCAGTAGTTATAATAATTTTCAACTTAATACTATAAAATTTATTTTCCTGTAGGTACCTAAATTTATTTAATAATCATTTCCCTTTTATATCTACATGACATTGCCCTTGAGTATTTATTAATTTACTGGTTGGTTATTCACTTAGTTGACTACATAACCGCCCAGGTACATTAGAGAAAATTTATCACATTCCTTAAATGCATTGCACCCACCCATTATTCATTTGCAGACAATTTAATTTGACTTGTGCGCCAAATGGAGAAATACTTAAAAAAATATTTTTCATGATTTACATAATAATTCGGATACCTTATAAAGTAAAGGCTTTGAGAAAAAAAATCAAATATTTGATTTTAGATTAGTTGACAAGTTTTAATTTTTTATTTTTTTAACACAAACTGTCATGTCTACCTCAGCTGCCTTGTTTAAATTGTTTCCATAACAACCAATTTTAAATGTGCATTATATGAACTCATTAAACTTAAATTCTTAAAAACTTATGGTCAGAAGTAAAATGTACTTTTTGAGACACCCTGTATAATTAAACTATTTTAATACAGTTTATACATGGACTTTTAAACTATTTTATTTTTAAAGGGCTGTAAAAATGTTTTTAAGTAAATTATAAAATTAATTCACAAATCATTTCAGATTTTTTTACAGTACAGATATAATAAACTATAATAATCAATAGCTATTAAGCTATTAATATAAATATGAAATATTCTATCGAAAATCTGCTTTTGTTATTTTCCATATATTCTTTTAAAAATTTGTTTCTAAACTCGATCAACAAAAAAGATCATGTAGATGGCTTGAAATTTGAATATTAAGAATTTTTACTTTTTATGTTGTTTTTATATTTAATGACACTTAAATTAGTAATAAAGTAGTAATTTATTAATACATCGTTTTATTTTTACTACATTGGCAGCGCCGAATTTGCTGTCACAGCCTACTATTTATCAAATTTGTGCGCCATGGACGATTTAATTTCAAACAGAAGGAAAACGTCATACGTCATACCTGATTGTGATTGGTTCTAATCAGATTGGGTTTGTGCGCAATGCAGTGCGCACTGAAGTTTTATTTGTGCTAAATTTTGTCTTATAATAAATACGCGTCAAACATTTGTAGACGTTTGTACTCTAGTCTTCATGAATTAAATGAATACACATTTTAAAGTGGCGTATAAGACTTGGGTTGGGATTTTTACTCATATTTTCCAGGATCAGATCCACGTGCGGGACATGTCCCCCCAAATGTATTTTAAACTTAAAGTAAAAAATTGAAAAATTCAATAAAATGTATAAAAATGTCTAAAAAATATTTTTCTTAATTCCAAAGAAAAACAAAAACTAAATATTTGTAGTGAAGATTAAAATAAAATGTATTTTGTCTCCGCCTCCAAAATCGTTCTCTGGACCCGCCCCTATATTTTCGTTAAACATTAAAATTAAATTTTAAAATATTATGTTTCTTATCAATTTTATATAACTTATTTTAATAAAGTTATATAAATATGTTTTATTGGAAAAAAAAGTTTATAATACTTTGTTTGGAAATATTGTTTTTATATTATTTTTTGTATAAAAATATAATTTAAAAGGTTTAAATTTATTAGTCGATTTTTAAATTTTGTCTTTAACTATATAGCACGAAAAAGTTTTAAAAAAATTTTTTTTTTTATTTTCAATGTACCTAAAATAGTTAATATTTACAACTATTACGTAACTATGTTCTTTAATTAATAATTATAGTAAGATTAAAATTTAACATTAATTAAACTAGGTATGTATCTACCCCGGCGCATTCGCCATTTATGTTAAAATTTATTGTTATTAAAAATGTTTAACAATAAATTTTACGAGGGGTCACCCACACCTGGGAATCCCTGGACATTTTAGAGGGGGAATACCATAGGAATACAATAAAATATACTGGGAATACATGGGAATCCCTGGACGTTTTCCCTTTGGGTGGTTGACCCCTCGAAATTTTACTTACTAAAAATCTAATCAATTTAATTTTTCTTTTTTTTTTAGTGTGAAATTAAATTAAAATTGCGGTTTATCCGAAACCCACGTAATAAATAATGTTTTATCGCATTCTAAAAAACAATTTTATGAACGTAAAAATTAAAACAAATGCCGTGCACATATTGAGCTTTATGTAAACGTTCGTTATAAATTAAATGAAGCCGAAAACAACATTAAATGCAATTCGGTAAAAAATAAATTTTCATATCGCCGATATTAGTTTTAAACTGTCCTGACCTAATTCAAAAAATTATGACTTTGCATGTTGCATTGCAATTCATCGATTTGTTATGGGTAAACGTGCCCTTGGTTTTATATATTTTTTTTTTATTTAGAAATATTCCAAATAGTTTAAAAAGGAGCTTAAAGTTAAAGGAATCTTTAAACGGTTTGGCACAGATTTTGATTTTAAATGGTCTTAGTTTTTTTATCCAATTTCTTGGCCAACTTTATGACTAGAAAAGAAATTACAACTTCCGAAACGTATCAGCTCCTTAAAAATCGTACCTATCGCTTTTGTTTTCTTTTTTATTGTTGAAAACATCAAACAAGTATAGCGTGACTACCATAAAACACTCCCAACAAAAAGTCGATTGTAATGGTTTGTTTTATTTATTTTTTCAGGAACCAAAAAGATGGAATACAAAACCAGGCAATGGCACGAGAAATGTTTCTGCTGTTGTGTTTGCAAGGTACCGATCGGAACCCAAAGCTTCATTCCGCGCGAACAAGAAATCTACTGCGCTACCTGTTACGAGGAGAAGTTCGCTACCCGTTGCATCAAGTGTAACAAGGTAAAAACAAGATTTTTTTTAATATTTAATATTAAAAATAATTAACGTTACAAGATCGGAAAGGGACTTGTATAGATACATATTTCCATAAACCTTAATTTTAGAATTTGATTAATTGACAGTGTCAAAAATAAACAGAAGTTATATAGGTCATGACGTCAGAAAAATATTATACAGATTTTTTTACATTTGTAAAATTCTTAAATATACCTTTTTATTGATGAAAAATATTATACAGATAAATATAAATTTATACAATATACCTATTTGGATTTACAGATGTATTTTTAATATACCTCTAAGGTACCTATATAAATAATAAAAAAAGCAATTTACGTTTCCAATGAGAAAAGAAGGAGACATTTAGATCATTTATTAAATTTAAATTAATGAATATATATATATATATACAGGATGTTTTATATATATATATATACAGGGTGTTTCACATATTTGGTCCATAACAAGTTTCTGGAGAACGAAAAAAGATTTGAAACTTTAAAAGCGTTTATAATCCATTTAAGTATATTTTTCTAAAATATTTTAAACAAAATGATACTTCCGGTATATCCGGAAGTGACATCAACTTTGTTATTTTAAGTAAAACTCCCCATATATTTTTACATTTTTTAATTCTACATAAAATTCTGATTTAAATTATTATACCATGTCCTATTCCTAAAGTGAATAGTTTAAGGGTTATTAATTTTTTTTGGTTAAAATTTGACAAATACGCGTCAATCAAAAATAGCCTAAAACTTTTTTTATTAGGTTTAAGAGGTTGGAATTTTTGGAATATTAAAAATTGTTTAAAAGATTCCACTTTTTTAATTTAAATGTAACAACCAGTATGTTTTTACCTAATCAAATTGTAAATTAAAAAACCTTTCGATTGATGTTACTTTTCTCTATACGTAAAGTTAATAATTTTAGAGATATTTAACAATTTCTAAAATTTTAAATATTATTTTGTATCAAGAAACCTGTGACGGGTGAGTTGACGGTATCTATGGTTACCACGTAATCTGTCATTGTTTAAAATTTAAAGTGAGCTCCGTTGCCGCTGATCGTTGTTTATATAAACAGTTTGTATAAACAATGTTACTTTTTGCATTATAATTCTTGGAAGTTATCATTGATAAAAAACATTAGGAAGGCGACTTGGCAATCAGGGCCGTATTCCAAACATTTTATTACGTTTAATACTGTATTTATGAAAAATTATGAAAACTGTATATTATTTTAGAAAAAAATCATAAAAAATACTTTAAAATAGACCAAATTATTTTTTTTGAACAGTTTCTTTTTAATATATATCTGTCTATACATTTATTCCATCGATTTTTATCAATTTATAATCAGTAAATGGTTTTAAAATAAGAAAAATAATGTTTTTTTTTGTGATGGATCTACAATTTAAATCTAAAATATCTAGAAAACAAAAGCTAACCTAAAAAAAGGAGATTTAGCGTATTCGCGTATTCGAATTAGGTAATGCCCCTGGGTGCCGTGCTGGTTAGAAAAAAAAGTTTACGATTCGAGCACAGTGTTATTACAGTATATTTAAATTGTATTGCAATATTTTTAGTATTTTTTTTAAATTAAATGCTTTCTACCATAAATTACTAATGTTCTTGTCATTTTCGCTAAAATTAAAATATTTGAAAGTTCTTAGGTAAATAATAGAGCTATAGCCCTATTAATGCAACAAGTTGCACGCGGAGTAAAAATTGTACCACAAGTTTAACGAGTGTTTAGTTTAACGTCAAGTGTTTAAAAGACATCGATTTTGCAACGTATTGCATTAAAGATTTTTTGCTACAGCGTTTTATAACAGATTTTTTATTTAAAAATGACTTACATGAACGACCCCTTATACAGGGTGTTCCAAAAGTCAACTTCTTTAAAGGACATAGGCCATCTCATGACAAATCAGAATATTAAAACATAATCTTTAAAAAAAAAATTGTTAGTTTTTAAGATACCTATTGGTTATTTATAGTAATCTTTTGATAACAGACAATTTTGCTGGATTTTAGTTTTGTATTATTAGTTTTATTTTGAAATAAAATAAATATCAGGCCTATTCAGGGTTGCGCATTAAAAAATAGAATCTTAGAATATGAAATTTTGTAGCTGTGACAGTTAAAAAACGGATCTAAGATGTCAAGTTTCACAAAATACAATATCTTAAAAACTAAAGACTTTTTACTAAAACCATGGTATGATATTCTGATTACTAATGAACATAATCCACAGACCTAATCAGTCCTCCAAAGGATATATAACTTATTTAAGATAAGATTTTTCAAAAATGTTAAGATTAATAGCAGTGAAACAAGTGTCATAAAACATTTCTTAGATGGTTTTATACACAAGTGCCACTTTAGAGTAAGACAGAATTCTACCTAAATAAGGACCGTTTGTAAAACAGTTGGCTTGTACCGAGCATAGGGTCAAGTCGCTTTTATACATTTTATTATAAATTAACTTTTCTTTACCTTTTAATAAATAACGCTGCTAATTTAACAGTATGGACGATCGCAAAATACCTAAATATAAATAATGTCAGAAATTTTACAATTTAATGGGTTTTTGGGTGAAGGTGTTAACTAATGTATTCGAGCCAAGCAACAACATTTATTAGTTAACTCCTTTTTGCATAACACAAAGATGTTATCCATCAACCCCATTAATTATTGAAATAGGTATTGACGAGTATTAATATTAATTTATACTTACCCATCAAATGCTTTAAGCCTACTTATACAAAACCTCATAATATACATAGAAAAAGGATATAATATAATATAATATACTTCGCACCTCTATGGGTCGCCGTTTTATTTTTTATTCAGGAATTATTAATACACTATAGAGTGATATTTTTAATTAGATAACAAATATTACATAAGATTTTTTATTCTGCGAATTAATAATATCATAGCAGATATTTTAAAATTAGATTTTATTTTTATGCCAAACTGAATTTTTAATTTAGTAAATTTAAAATATATTTCTTATATTTGTATTTTGACATTATAGGGAGATCAAACGTTCGTGCGTATCCGCAATCAACGATTAAATCAAAATGTTTTATTGCAAAAAAATTGTATTTTATTTTAATACCTATTATAAAAAAATTATGATTTTAGGGATTTTGTGATAACGTGATGTACGAACTTAGTATGTATGTACAAGGTACTTTAGTAGTACGTACAAATTAGGTCCCTGGACGTAGGGACATAATATGGATAAAAAAATGTACGACCATTGCTGATTGGAGCAACAATTGTGCCGCCATCTAGCGACAGAATTAGTTTGGAATCTGAATTAAAAATATCACATTCAATTAAAAATATCTGTTTATTTGAAAAAATTAAAATGAATTGGGGCCACGGGTAGCGCAGTGGGTTAGGCGACTATGCCGAGACAAACTGCGTCCGAAGGTATCGGGTTCGATCCCCTGTCACAGCCTTGGGTGTTGTGCGCGTTGAAAGTCGGTAGATGAGTCTAACTCATCGAGGACCGTGGTTCGGATTCAACGTTAAACAGTAGGTCCCGCTGAAGAACCGAACCTTATAGGCTTTGCCTGTAAGCTGGATAGGTTGGTGGCGTTACTACTCTACTCTCCTATGATTTTTTTAATTTAGCAAATTGAAAATATGTGTTTAACTATTTTAATATTTTAAATTCACTAAATTAAAAATGTCACTTTGGCATAAAAACTAAATTTAATTTTTAAATATCCACCATGATATTTTTAATTCGTAGATTAAAAATTCATATATGATATTTTTGATCTAATTAAAAATATCACTAATGTTAACACATAAGAACAATTCCTGAATAAAAAATAAAACGGCTCCCCATACACCTCTAATACGTCCCAACAAAAATGTCTTGCAACAGAGGTGTGTAACAATTCTTTGATGTGACGGGTGAATAACAAAAACTGATGAGAGGCTGCAATGTAACAATTTTAGGCTGCTGCAGCAATGTTGCAAAATGTTTACGCTTGGGTTTTACCTTACTGTGTTTACGCACCTTTAAACTATGAAACATGTATAAACTATAGATTTATAAAGCCATTTATATTTTATATTAAGAAAAATGTATAGAGACTGATCCAGGGTTTACCTTTTTTCCTAATATGAGACATTTTTAACATTATTACCGATTATTTTAGGTTATTACAAGCGGCGGCGTAACCTACAAGAACGAGCCGTGGCACAGGGAGTGCTTCACTTGCACACACTGCACCAAGAGCTTGGCCGGCGAGCGTTTCACTAGCAGGGACGAGAAACCCTACTGCGCTGAATGCTTCGGCGAGTTGTTCGCCAAGAGGTGCTTCGCCTGCAACAATCCTATCACCGGCATCGGCGGTACCAAATTCATTTCGTTCGAAGACAGGCACTGGCACAACGATTGCTTTCACTGCGCAACTTGCAAGATCAGCTTGGTTGGCCGTGGTTTCATTACCGACCAGGATGACATCATCTGTCCCGACTGCGCCAAGCAGAAGTTGATGTAATTAAGTCTTATATTATTAAATTTTAACAAATGAATAATATACTTAGATACACACAGTCTTCATTTGTTGATGCAACCACTATAGTTCGAAGTTTAAAGAGAGGATTTATTATTATTATTATTATTATTAACAACGTAACTGATAAACAAATCGTCCACACGTTCTCTCTTTAGATGTGCCGATTTTTATTTACTTAACCAAATGGATACTGTAATTATTTTGATAGAACTTAACAGTATAAATTATTTTTTTAATGTAAACACTATACACTTTTATATAAACACTTAACACACAACACACACCCACACAGAACACACTTAAAAAAATGTAGAAAATTAAAAAAAAATCGTTATTTTTTAAACCATTATAGCTTAACTATTTTTATTTTATAAAGATGTTTAACTATGATATGTTTTAGAATAGTTATGCTTATTTATTTAAATAAATTATTGACAATATTTAAGGTTTATTTAGGATTTTAAACTTTAGAAATACTAAACACAAGTACGCTGTAAATTCTAAAATATATACCAGTTGCCTTATATTTGTAATATCATATACATAACATGTATATCTTAATATAGTTAGTGGTAATAAATTTGGATTTTCTCAGATACTTAATTGACAATATATTTTTTAAACTATTCTCCTCTTATCAATGATTTCTATAAAACGCCATATCACATTTTGAAACGTATGGAAAGAGAATGAGTTTTGCTTTTTTTATGTATATTGTTGCTATTTGTTGTAGATAATGTATATTTATTGTATACAGCTTCATAGCATTTATGAAAAATGAGCAATTTGGTGCTAATTCATTAGAGTAGTTTTTATTAGTTATATTTTATTATTATTATAATATTTTCATATGTAAAGCTTCTATGTTTATTAACAAAATTGTTATTAATACTTGTTTAAGATTTTAACTTTTAATGGAGATCATTGTAATTTTTCTAGGATTGTTACAAACTGTTATGCTTTTTAAAATGATATACAGGGCTTTGCTTTAGGGACATTGTTATATTTTATTCCTTAATAAAATTTTAAAAACACCAAAAAGAATTTGTTAATTTTAATAGCTTTAGCTATATATACCATATATGGTAAGGGTTACCATATTGGTCTTGTTTAAAATCAGTGTAGGTGCACTAGGGTGTTCGCTATTTCCCAAGTAGTTTTTTTTTACTTGGATATTATATAAATTATTTTTTAACCTAGGTACTAAAAATAATTCCGGTGTTGTAACCCTGCCTAAATGACATTTTATTGACATAAGAAAAAATTTATAACACGTTAATATATAGACAGCTAGTCATGGAATAAAATGATTTAGTTTAGTGTCCAGTTTTTGCAGACATGAGGGAGAATATGGAGATGTGGTAGTACAAGGTCAGCAAAACACTAAACAAACTTTTTAAAAATCATTTCGAGTATGCCGCTGGCGAATTTTGTACCAAACAAAAATAAAATAATAGTAATAGCAATGTATACGTTATTGAAAAACCAGGGAGAAGGGTAAGCTAATTTCTATAGATGTGGATTGTAGTATATATGACGTCCCTGTTGGCCTCTTTTGGCTTATTTAAAACAATAAATGAACCCACAGTAATCACAGTAACTACAAAAACCTGTATAGATAACTAATTTACAAATTTTGAGTGGTTTTATCATGCAAGGGTTCTAAATGAGGGTATTTCGGATAATTAGTTAGTGAAAAATTTATAGAAAATGGTCAATATAGGTACAATTTTTTTATGAAAAAAATAAACAAACATTTATGGAGCACTTACAAAATGAAAATTGGGACCAGTACGGCTTGACGCATCGTAGAGTGAGGACGCGCACGCGATCGCTTCTTAAGAGTAAAACGTATTTAATTTTGTTAGGTAGATTTTTTTTCCTGAGCAAGTTTTTGTCTCAGAACTCCCAAACCATTGAGATTAAAATTGACTTAAGAATATTTTTTGAAGAAAATTGAATGCTCTACAATAAAGGTAAGTCCCGTCCTAACACTTGAAGTGATAGGTTGGGCTACGGTCGTTAACGAGAACCCTCCTAAGCAGTGTAAACGATACAAACGCAAGAACCAAAAACGAATCTAAGAATCCGGCAAGTTATCGGAGGCAAGGGAATCAAAATCAGTAAAAGGGAAAACAAAAAATAAAAATTAAATAAACAAGAAAAAAATAAATAATAATAAGTTTGGAATAAGCGGGTGGTCCCCGGTTAAGTTACAAAGTGCTATAACGTCGTTAAAATTTGTGAGTGAGTGAGTGATTAAGGTTAGGTCACACCGATAAGCTACCTGACTATCTGTATAGTCACCACAATCGGCGATAGCCAAGGAACACGGACTGTCCGCAAGGGATAGGAAAACAGAATTCAAGTCTAATTAGTCCAGCTAAGTAATTTTCCTAATTGCATGACCTAATACCAGTACCAATTCGATTCTAATCTATAAACTAACCGTTAAATACTTATATACTCAAGCTTCACAATGTTATTACCAAAAATGTCCTCTGGCTTCAGAAAATAAACAGGTACCCACACTGAGAACTATTAAGTTTTAATTATTAACAATACGACCAATAACTGTTTGTTTTAAAGTCTCGAAATGTTACCTCAGTCTTTACATTAAACTCGTACATTTTTGTTACTACACAATGTACAAAGATTTCAATTAATTAGTACAGTCATCTTAGTCAAAAAAAGGGGTCAACCTCGGAATCTAACGGAATAAGCTGAATTTTTGTGCAAACCTTTATTTTAGCATTACAAATGTTGTCACAAAAGTCACATATGCCAACGTGTGAGCGGCCTTAGATATTCAAGGTCAAAGGTCTCAAAAATCAGTTTTTTGAGAATTTCTCGTTTTCTCTGCCTCCTATCGTATTTGCATTTATTATAAAAGTTGTAGAGAATAAAATTCTTTACAAATTTTGTTTAAAACATTTTTTTATACGTCGAACCGTTTTTTAGATAGAGGGCGCAGAGTGTGGAGCGCAAGGTAAATAGTGAATCCTAATCTATTATACCGTTTTTTAATTAATTATATATTAAATATTACTAAAATAAAAATTTAATACCTTTTATATTTATATTTCTTTTAAATCAAATATATTTTATCTTAATATATATCTTATATTTTAATTTAATTTTAATGATGGATGAATGGATCAAAGAAGTAAAAACTTTTTTATTTATATCAATATTATTATTTTTATTATTACTATTAATCTTCATCTTCTTCATCCTCGTATTCTTCAGGTTAGCCAGCAATTTCAAACTTATTCTCATCATCACTCTCCTCGTTATCATTGACAGTAATTCAAATCATGCAGATAAGATACACGGTCTATTACTAATCAAAGTATCGCTTCGTTCTTCTGCTCTTTTCACGACCTTGTCTTTAAATTCAAGAGTACTAGTACTCTTACCTTACTTATAACGCGTTTGTACATCGCAGATTTTTTTGCCTCTGTTGCTGCATCTGCGACTTCACCATAAAATAAGCACAATATTTTAAAATCAAACACATCATTCCCTTTTTTACGTGGTACAGTTAATGACTTTGAAGGTCCAGTCTCTTCAAGGCGACGTTTAGCTGCTGCAATTGATTTTTTACTAGCGTACAATTTTCGACATTCAATACACAGAAGTCAAAGTATTTAGGTAGTTTATGTGCCCATCATTTCCCTCAATAATTGCTTCTTTTAAAGTCTTTATACCGCGCACAACAGTCACAGAATCACCTTCAGAAAGTAACTTATTACAAAATTTAATAAAAAACAATTCAGCCATGTTTACCTTTAAAATATTACGAATATTATCTGTCACAACCCTAGACTTAGACCTAGGTTCACAACTTGCTTTAAATAAAAAGTTGAGGTATACCTAACCTTTTTATTTATAGCAAACCCACTATAGTATTTCCAGGTCTGTTATTTTAAAAGCAATATCTGGATTTAAGAGATGACCAGAGATAACATATAAATTCATTTAATGTCTTTTCTTCTTAAAATGCATTTATCATTCATTAGAATAACATTAAAATATTTTTAGAATGATTCACTTCATTATTTAATTATTTGTATGTCAAAGGTAAGTAATATTTAATGATTAAAAAAAATATAAAAATAAATATAAGGTATTAAATTCTTATTTAAGTAATATTTAATAAATAATTAATTAAAAAAACGGTATAATAGATTGGGATTCACGATTTACCTTGCGCTAAAGGTACGTATGGCTGAGCGCTCCACACTCTGCGCCCTCTATCTCAAAAACGATTAGACGTATAAAAAAATGGTTTAAACAAAATTTGTAGAGAATTTTATTCTCTACAACTTTTATAATAAATGCAAATACGATACGAGGCAGAGAAAAGGAGATATTCTCAAAAAAATGATTTTTGCGACCTTTGACCTTGAATATCTAAGGCCGCTCACACGTTGGCATATGTGACTTTTGAGACAACATTTGTAATGCTAAAATAAAGGATTGTACAAAAATTCAGCTTATTCCGTTAGATTCCGAGGTAAAATGCCAAGATGACTGGACTAAATGCAGTTCAGGCAGTAAATTAATGAAAAATCTAATAGAAGCACTCTGATTGTTTGTTTAAGATTTCTTTTTATTTGTTTCAAAAACATAATTTTTAATTAAAAATCAGAATAACATTTCCGTAAGTGTTAAACTAACAACCTCATTTTTCTCAGTGTAGACAACCCATAAACAACTTAAATAAATAGAAAAAGGCGTAAGAGAAAATAAACCAAATCAAGAACGACACAAAATTTAGAATATAAGTGTTGTGTGTGTGTAATAGGTATATATACTATTGTATGTATATGCATTTAAATATAGGCCTTAACTAAGATACCAGCCCATAAGCCCAAAGCTTAAAATAAACAAAAGCCTAAAAAGTAAACAACATCACAGAAGATAAGAAGAGCTACCCTCTCTATAACCAATGCCTGCCATAGGACCGTACACGTACACTTCAGGGCCGGCTTTATCTGTTTTGTATATTAATATTTATTTTTTTAAATTAAATTTGAAAAAAAAAGTAAGAATGCAAAGATATAAATTAAATGTAAACGGTATAAACACTAATTTTACAATAAAATAAATAAATAATATACAAGGTCGGTAGCCGGCACTCGGTATGAGGAATATCCACCACGGCAGATGGCACTTACGGCGGGTCGTGGCCGTCAACACTTCGGTACTGAAGACAAGATTCAGTATCTCACAGGGAGGCAAACAATTCTAAAGAGGTTACCAGGAACCGAAAACTGACTCGGACAGAGACGTTTAGAAATACACCAACAAGGACAGGTTCTAGCAGCGTACTAACACTTCTACCCCCATTCATGAATCCCAATTGTGGGGTTATTACTAAAGCCCCGGTTGAGGAGGATTCCGGATTGTACTTAGTTTTGGGTCAGTTCAATGTCCTCCAAAAACTTTTACCCTTCTTGTCCCGCTCTTCACTAGCCTAAACTGGGCCCGACCCGGCGACAAAAATCCGGGAGTGGCCTTAACCATCGACACTGTCATCCACGACCTCCTAGGGTAGATCTACCAGCCGGCGTAAAAACTTCGGATCCAACAAACACAGGTAATGCTGTGCAGTGGCGGGATATGTAGGAAAACTGAAAGGTGGTAAAATAACCATGGGAGATTAGTGTAAGGTAATTTCGATAGGGCCTGCCATACGTCCCCATACTCATACTCAAAATTGAATGCTCTACAAAAAAGGTTTTATTTGGAATTTCCTCTCAGATGAACCGTTTTCTTACAATCACCTTAAAAATTGGTATAGTTTTACAATTTGATATTTTAACTTTGAAATTTTGTAATTCATTTAAAAATTAGTAGGTACCCGGCTCTACAAAAAAGGTTTGATTGGAATTTCTCCTCAGATGAACCGTTTTCTTACAATCATGCCTTAAAAATTGGTATAGTTTTACAATTTGATATTTTAACTTTGGAATTTTGTAATTCATGTAAAAATCAGTACCTAACCGAAAAAAAAACCGATGGATATTCTT